AAGCCTCCATGGTGGTCTCCAGAAATAAGGAGAGCACTAAGCAAAAGAAACAGAGGCTGGAGACACTGCAGAGAGCTCAGCACTCAGTTGGCATGAACAAACTACACGATCCGGAGGAATAGAGCAGTCAGTCTTATAAGAGTAGAAAAGAGAGAATATGACCTAAATTTAGCTGAAAACGTCAAGCAGAAATCGAAAAGGTTTTTCAGTTACGTCCAATCGAAACTCAACTTGAAGGATGCCATTTGTGTCTTGGCTCTGGAAAACAACACGATTGCGGCAAACGACCACAGCAAGGCGGTATCACTGGGCAACTATTTCGCTAGTGTTATTAGATTAGATAACAGAACACTAGAACCTAGATCCCCAAACTCTCTTCCACCGAGCATAAGGAGATACAGTGGAGAAACAAAAGGTGCTAGGGTATTTGGACACCCATAAGGCCCCGGGTCCCGATGGCATATATCCTGCCATTGTGAAAACACTTGCTCAAATCGTGGTACACCCCTTAAGGGTGTTTTTTAAAAATCACTGGAGGAGGGGGTGCTTCCGGGCGACTTGAAAACTGCTGCTGTGTTGGCGTTACACAAAGGTGGTAGTAGATCTAACCCGAAGCACTACAGACCGGTTAGCTTAACTAGTGTTCTATGCAAGTGCATGGAAAAGCTAAGCAGGACGCATCTCTGTATCCGTCTTGTAGGGTATACATTACTTAGCATGGCCCAGCATGGCTTTATGAAAACCGGTCGTCCCTGACAAGCCTCTTATGCTACCTATACGAAGTCACAGAGAAGGTAGACGAATGCCAAACAATAGAAGTATGTTATCTAGATTTCAGTAAGGCCTTCGATTCCATAAGTCATAGACTGCTTCTACATAAGCTGAGCTTTTTCGGAATCACAGGAACAATATTTAATTGGATAGAAACATTCATGACCAATAGGGCATTCTGGGTTAGGGTAGGAGAACAAACTTCCCAAGTCCTTAATGTCACAAGTGGCGTGCCACAAGGGTCGGTGTTAGGCCCGCTTCTATTTCTGCTGTTCATAAATGATCTAGCAGAAATTACCAGCTCACCTTGCTTCACCTTCGCTGATGATGTAAAGGTGGTTGGATATAGTGAAAGATCAGACTCAGAAGAGGATAGTGCAAAGGTGGTCAAGTGGTTCCACATATGGGATCTGCCACTAAATGCAACAAATAGTCAGTTGCTCTCTAGAACTAGGGAACAATTGAAGGCTCTCGATGACTGGGGGAAATTCGAAGTAAGCACTGTAACCAGTGCCAAGGATCTAGGAGTCATCGTAACTGCAGATTACAGTTGGAGTACTCAATGTGAAGCTGCAGCACACATGGCAAGACGACAGCTGTTTTGACTGAGGTCAACAGTTTCTTATAGGAGAGCAGAAGTGTTTATACACATCTACAAAGCCATCGTAAGGCCTCATTTGTAATACTGTGTTTAGGCTTGGTCGCCCTTCTACAAAAAGGACGCAGTCTTTCTGTAGAAGGTCCAGAGACTGGCAACAACGATGGTTGAGGGTATGCGGGGTAAAACATACAAAGAAAGGTCGTACGTGCTCGGTCTATTTTCGCTAGGAGATTGCGCGGAGACCTCATCGAAGTATTTCAAATTAGGAAAAAATCGCTGGGTTTAGATCCGGAGTCTTTCTTTAGTGAGGCTCCCACCAAGGAACTCTTGGACATGAACTCAAACACATGGAACAGCGTCCTAGGCTGAACCTACGAGCACATTTCGTTGGAAATAGGATAATGGAAAATTGGAATAAGCTACCGTCATAACTGATTATGCAGCCAAACGTCCAATCCTTTAAAAGAGCCATGTACGCCTGATGGTTGGAGGTCTTCCGTGACATAGAATGTTAGGTGCAATAATTGTTTTTATGTAATATGAAACTTTTTCAAAACAGGAGTCTCTCGCCGACACGGCGAGAAGTAAAGTCTCTCTCTGTTTCCAGATAGAAAGAGAAACGGATCAATCGCAGAGGTGGACGCACACTCGTGAGCACAGCACCGGAGGAATTCTGGACGCTTGATTGGCCTGTGGCCACTATCAGTCCTGTGCAACCTGAATTGACTGACCTCCCACGAAGAGAACTTTTCCGGCTCAGGTCTGCTCTTTCTTGCAGAAAACTAGAACTCTTCGTCCCCTTAAACAAGGCGATAGTAAGGCCTCATCTAGAGTTGTGTCCAAGCCTCGGCACCTCTGCGCAAAAGGACGATTGTCATAGCCTTTTTAATATGTCCAGTGTGTCTTATCCATGCCTGAATGTATCGTGTGGTAGACGGGTGGTCACAGGTATAGAATGCATCATATGTGAGAATTGGGCACACAAAACTTGCTCGAAGCTCTCAAGCGAGCTATTCAAACTATACAGCAACTACGTAGATCTTCTGTGGATCTGCCAAGGATGCCGAGAGATTGCAAAATCTGCACTAAAAGGCAGCCAGAATTCGTTAGATAATGGTGGGGACACGCAAGGACAAACGCTACGCGTAAGCGAGTCGTCACTCAAATCTCCACCGAGTCAACCAACCAACGCTACTCGGAAACCACAACCCACCCATCAAGGTAAATCGTCACTTCTGGGGAGCCCTTTGGATTACTCGACACCAAAGACCCACAACGCGAGTCCGAAAAAGATTCGCAACAGGAATCAGCCTGAACCAGCCATACCCCGAACCAAGCAGAGTATACAAGAGAC